AAGTGAATTTGTTCTTTTTTCGAACGAAATATTAAGAAACAGAAACGTTCGTTGGAAATGAAGATAAGAGCACTCAATTATTGTGTAATATCAATATTCCTAAATGGAAATAGATGTTGGACAATTTTTTCGCCGATGAAGATGTGATGTGGAAAAACAGACATAAAGTTCCAAAGACGTATAAGGCAAATTAATAAATAAAAACAAAAGAAATTAATAAGTTTACATATATTTAGAATAAGAATAAAAAGCTTTTGAATAAAACATTTACACTTGTCACAATTTACACTCTTCGAACTGTTGTCCTCATCTTTATTGCCACATTCACGACGTTTCGATCGTTGTACGCTCCAGCCTTCTTCAGGTTATATACCACAGAATTTCGGTCCGAACTCTTTATTTTGTCCACGGGAGTAGATTGTTCTAATTCCACATACCACACCTCAGTTTTAGTTATTTTACCTTAGTATCGCAACAATATTGAATCATCGATTGACTGATGATGGTTAGCATTAGCCATACTGGCGGAAGTCAGAAAGGTTTGTCTCAGCCGATTAAAAGTAGATGTGAAGGAGAAACCCTAATCTCCTTGCAGATCTTGCAAAGTTGCTGAGACATTTGGGATTTTAACAACAAAGAGGAAGATAGTAAGGGAGAATGATTCATTTAGCAATACTTCAAAAGATGAAGACGGCCGGAAAATCTATCGATCGAAATAGGAATGAAAAATAATTGATATAAACGATTCAGCGTAATAATGTTTTTTTCTTTCTTTTAAAACGTAAGACTTTCAAGGCGAAATAACCGATAGGCCAAACGTAATGATCCAAACAATAAAGATAAGGATATTAGTACGAATAATTCATTGAGAAACGACAATAATTTATTTTCAGAGGCTTTAGGGAACGAATTCAGGTCGAGCAAAGTTTATTTCATTGCATATCTCAAACGACTTTTTGAATGCGATATTTATAATTAGATTAAATATACCGAATTAATTAACTAGTCAACATTAATAATATTCCCCCCACCTGTAATGCTGACGTCGACTCAAAGGGATTAATTTTCTCAATGTTTTTAAAAAATATAAATTTTGCTTGGAGGCAGGATCTGACCTTCTGCGGACAAATTGTTCTATCAAATATAATTAAATCTATAGTTCATGTTACACACACACACACACACACACACACACACACACACACACACACACATATATATATTGAGAGTGAGAGAGAATATGTGTAAAAATTCACAGCGCTCTTTCTGAACCCGAGAACATTACGCACAACTGAAAACCGTTATTTGCATAGACACACACACACACATATATATATAAGCAAATAGATGTGTACACGCATACACCGACATACACACACAGGGTCGTAGGGGCAGCCGTAGTAGAATGGGTTTTTCTTGGGCAAGATAGCCTTACAGAACCTAAGCCTCTCCCAGCCGGTTTTGAATTCAGAGCTACCTTCTCCTAGACTGGTTACCAATCAAGTCTAGAACCCATATTAACACATAACTTGGGGATTCATACCCTTCCCAAGGGTATTAGCACGTAAGTAAATGTAATGGATCCGACTGGAATTCGAACTCGGCTCTCCGATTCCTCAATCCAAGCCGCTATCCGTGCCTCCCAAATGACGAAATAAACACTGTTTTTAAAAAAATATATATAAAAAAAAACAAAAAAAAAAAAACGGTGCGTTCTGCTCAAATACGGGTGTTTGCCAAAAATAACATTTCAAGCAATAACAATGTATATATTGTGCATCTGAGCAGCAAACTATCGTTTATTTTATTTTATTGAATGTAACAGACAAGGAAAAGATTTCTTTTTTTACTACGTTTTTTCAAATGTTTATGAAAAGAACTAACGGAGTGAATAAACACTTCATAATGGTTATTGTCACCCTTGAATACGACCAATAAATTCCCACTTTTAAATAAAATCCATATTTGGTTTTGATATAATGAACATTCATATACCTGGGTTCCCCCCCCCCACACACTGTAATATGATTGGCTGGTGTCACGAATATACAAGAGCAAAAACGTTGTTACTTTTTCAATGTATAGTGAATTATGAATATTCTTGAGTACTCTTATAAATAAAAATTTTGAAAAAATCAATACCATTTTTGCTCTTCTACATAAATACTTGCCACAAAATAAAATCCTTCATAAAATCCCTCAAAGGACGAAGCGCGTCGGCTAAGTTTTCCTTTTGTCTTAATTCACACTTACACACACACACGCAGACACACACAGACACACACAAGCATATGCATATATATTTTATATATATATATATATATATATATATATATATATATATATATATATATATATATATATATATATATACTGCAACTGTGATGTTGTTGCCCGTCGTGTTAAAGTCTTGATGCCATTTATCGTTCTCTCTTATTAGAGGCTCCGATGTTGTATTTTTTCTATGTTAAGCCTGCTAAGTTCTCATATATATATATAT